AGCTATTGCCCCTGTTAAATCTACAGCATTGTTATCAGAATTAGCATTTGAGACGAGCCTTGCAGACTCAAGACGCATGTGGATTGCAGCATTCCAAAGATTACGAAGTCCCATCTCCAGTCCATTTACTTCAAAGCATTCAGGTGAACTATTGCCAACCTGTGGCCTCCAGGTGGGGCCTGGAATTCCCTTGGGATTATGAGTGATCTCCAGACTACAGACATCAGTTCCCCAGAGGAAATGTGAGCTTTGGAGGGTGGACTCTTGGCATCACACTCCTGCTGAGTTCCCACCCTAGTCTCTGCTGTCCCCACACTCCACCCCTAAATCTCCAGAAATTTCCCAGCCCTGAGTTGACAACCCAGACCCAAAGTATGTTCTTATGCTTCTAATAGGTCTCCATGGTAATGGGGCTGTGTGGGAATTTCAGTCTTTCTAGACACAGATCTGCAAGGAGAGGAGAAACAGCATTTGCTGGACTTCTCTTTGTTGTGCAGGCAGTATTTAAGTTCGCTGTTCAAGGTCAGGCACTGGCAGCCCTTGAGAGTAACATTATTGTGAATGCTGTCTATTGCTTGAAGGATGTTTAAGTCTTTGAGACTTTTGTGTTCTCCATTGCCTAGCATGCAGAAAACAGGTAATGCGTTAAAAATGTGTGATTTTTGCTATGCTGCAGCACACAATATCTTTCTGATACAGCTGGTTCTTTGCTGAACGTGCCCTTATGAATAGTTTAATTCAGGAAAGCCATGCTTCATAATTGCTTTTTAAAAGGAAAATAGATTTCATCATGTCTGTAATTTTTGCGGGTAAAATTGGATGTGTATTAAAGCATAAAACTCATAGTCAGTCTGTGGCTAGACTCAAGACCGCCAAGTACGGATCAAGCTTTTCCACACAAAGCTCTGCTTAATACACCTCCGTTCCACCCTGCAACATTCTTGCTGTTCCAGAAAAGGGTGTGGCCAGTTTGTAATGCAGGCAGGTACCGATTGAGCCTCCCTGTTTATAAGTGCCAAGACTGCTCACTTCTGCTTTTCAACACTCATGCAATTCCCCTGTCTTTTTCACACACAAAAAATGGCGGTGATCCGTAACTTGATCTTCCATTTGTCATGTTAGCAACATCATTCTCATTAACTTGAATGAACAAGGTTGAAGGCTTGGAGATAGCTCACCTAATAAAGCCCATGTATTTGCAATTTAAGCCAAATTTAGTCCCACTCAAGCCAATGGGACTAAAATGGATTAAACTGTAAATCAAATAACAAAAGGGCCCTTTAGCAACCAGTGTTAGGTCTAGTTGTAGTGCTTCTCGATGCTGTGGGGCTTCTCTTTAAGAGCTGAGTAGAAATTGCTTGTGCTACCATTTTGTTCTCATCCCAGGGAGTATCTATTTATTTAAGAACTTTGTATGCCATCTCTCTGGACTTGCTGGAGGTGGCTCATGGTTAAAACAAACCCAATCAAGATAATGAAGCAAGTCGGTAAAACACATAACACAATGAAACAAGCCAATAAAACAAGCAAGCCAATAGAATAAATAAATGAAACAGATCAATAAAAACATGCCAGTATAAAACCAGCTAGCTTAACCTGGATGGTCCAGGCTAGACCAATCTTGTCAGATCTTGGAAGCTAAGCAGGATTGGACCTGGTTAGTACTTGGATGGGAGACAACTAAGGAACACTAGGGTGCTATGCAGAGGCAGGCAATGGCAAACCACCTCTGTTTGTCTTTTGCCTTGAAAACCCTACGGGGTTGCCATAAGTAGATTGTGACTTGACAACACCTTCAACCTCCCAAAACAAACTGAGCCAATACACAGGAATGCCACTCATTTCAACTCACTGCTTTATGTTGAGATCTGAATCTGCCTACTAGGTTAGTTTCTATGGCAGTGATCCACACATCAGTTGCCCCAAGCAACCTTTTTCAACAATGTCAAGGCTGGTGGTCTTGACACAAATGAAGAGTCAAGCCAGAAAACAGAGAATCAAGCAGGTGGGCCATCAACTGAGTCAGCAGGCAAGGGAAGAGGCAGGGGTGGGCAGTCTGGGAGCAGCGCAGCCTGTTTTTGAGCAACAAGTTAACCAGACTGAGGAGCTAGGAACAGTTACAGGACCAGCCAGAACCTTATAGCACTACCCTCAGGTCATATCTGCAGTGAACTGCAGCAGAGATAATGTCTCTTCTCTGACAAAGTACTATAGAGATGCAGACTGTACATCTGTGAAATGATTCAGGCAGCCCATTTATCAAGGATACAATATAACTTGCATAAGAAACAAAGGAGTCTCTCAATGTGTGCGAAGGCTATGCTACTTGAGATTACAGGCTGGCTCATCAATTTGCAAACAAAAACGATGGCATGCAAGTGGTAAAGCCTGCTGACTGACCTGCTTGAAGACTGAATTATAGCCAGGTAGGTGTGCTCGCTATTCAAAATGGCCACTAAATGTGCATATTACTGAGAGAACATGAGTAGTACCCCATTAATTGGAAATATTGAATTCAAGAGTTGTTCCCAATATTTCTTAAAAACAACCAGACAAGATGGTATTAGTGTATCCTGTCACTCCAGGACACAGCATAAATGGTTAAAATGTGGTGTATCAGTAGCTGTTTTAGTGGAACATCCCCAAATCTGACACTACAATGGCATTATAGTAAGATTGGGCATCTGTCATCACTCCTTAGAAATCTTCTTCCAAATTAAGGAACCCTTCCCCCAACTTAAGTAGTGCTTCCTCTGGTAGGAAGGCCACTTAAGTTGACGAAAGGCTTCTGATGTTGAAAGACTTCGGCCCTGTTCATACGAGGCGTTTTGAGCCGGGAGGGGGACGGAACGGGGGCGGAGCAAACGGGCGCGATCCCACGGCAACATCTGGGAATCGTTGCCTGCCCGTCCCTGATCCGTCCCTACCACCGAAAACGCGCACTAAAAAAGAACCACCTACCTAGGTGGTTCTTTCCAGTAGAGCGCCTCAAGCCGGGCCGTGGGATCGGCCGGCGCGTCCTTGCGCCGGCACATCCCGGCCCCCGGCCGTACTGTGCATGCTCGAGCATGCGCAGTTCTGCAGACTCCCCCTCCCATCCGACTCTTCCTTCCCGGCATCTGATCATGCCGGAAGCGACGCACCACGGCTCGGGGGATCCGTGCGATCCCGCCACGGCGTCTCAACTTTGGTGCAGCTCAGATTAGCCGCAGTTCAGCCGTCCTTTTCCCTGCCGTGTGGCAGGGACCTTTGTTGAGTGGCGTGATAGGATACATAGCACTGACTAAAGGGAATCTCCATGATTAGAGACAGAAAACCTTTGAAAGTGTCAGAAGGCAACTTTGGGAGAAGGCCTTGGCCTCTACACTTTATTGTTGGCCCTTCAGAGTAACTGTGAGACAGGATCCAGCAGGGCTCTTCTTATGTTTTCATGGTCACTGTATTAGTTTAATACACACATTATTCTGATAACAGTGCTGAAATCTAAAAATAAAACATCATCACTATAGCCCCAAATAAAGTACTTTGTTATGTGAAACACAATTTAGCATTCTTAAAATGTGCCATCCATTCAAAATAATACCACACACATTGTGCACCATTTACTGTAAGAATGTTCTCACCAGAGCTGAATCTACGTTCAAGTAAACTACAGTTAAGAGCCTCTGATTATGAATGACCTGCACATGCAATATTTAAAAAGACTAAATTTCAGTGTTCAAATCATACACATTTTGGGCTAATGTTTTGATCTTCTAAAACTTGACATAGTTTTTGGCCTCCCCAGGTCTTACTTTGGTTCTGGTTGCCACTAGTTTTAATGAGGCTTGCTTCAGGCAGGTGAGTCATGAAATGTTCTCCAACTAAATTTTCTTCACTGTAAAGCACAGGCATAGATTTGTGAACCCCAGAGAAATTAGGTTGTCGTCAACTCCGCCAAAGAAATTCAGCAGAGACACCCTGCAGACTGAGAAGACAGAATCCCCGAGCACAAACATTGCTCTGGGAGAGTGCGGCTGTGATCAAAGCTGCATTTTAAAATAAGTCTCCAGGCAATCATTAAATTATTCACAGCACATAGAGAGCTGGTCCCGTGGGTTGACTGAGAGTGTGTCTGTGTGAGACCCAAAAGTGTTCTTGCCTGCCTGAATAGGATTTTTTTTTCCATATATACGAACATTCCATAGCATTGGCAGCCTTGTGCACCCTCACAGAACTGCAAGTTCTCCCCGACCCCGTCCCTCTAGGCACATTACCTGAGGAGTAACTTTGCATAATGGAGCTGCGGTGGCTCAAGTGGTTAAGACGCTGAACTGCAGGCTGTGGAAGGTCAGTAGTTCAGTGGTTCAAGACCCGGGTGCCGCAAGACAGGGTGAGCTCCTGTCTCTAGTTCCAGCTCCTGTCAACCTAGCAGTTCGAAAGCAAGAAATTGCAAGTAGATAAATAGGGACCACTTCGGTGGGAAGGTAACAGCGTTCCGTGCGCCTTTGTGTTTAGTCATGCCGGCCACATGACCACGGAAACGTCTTCGGACAGCGCTGGCTCTTCGGCTTTGTAACGGAGATGAGCACCGCAACCCTAGAGTCGGATTCGAATGGCTTTCGAGCAAGGGAACCTTTATCTTTACCTTAACTTTGCATAAGGGAAACCTGAAGATAGACAGACACCCACCCACTAAGATATTGGCGGGGGGAGAACAGAGGGCGGGATAAAAAAAAATAAATCTAACAAAGTAAATAATATAAGCAAAAAAATACAGAATGTTCAAATACTCATTTTGCTACGGAATAGCTCACATCAGAGAGAAATCCCTCTCTCCCCCACTCACACGCGCTCTCTCTCACACACACACATCCCCCCAACTGCGCGCGCCCGCTTGCTTTAGCGAGGAATCCTGCAAGGAGGGAGCGGTTTAGGCGCCTCCTTCCCTGCAGCCTCTGATTGGTCGGAGCCTCCCGGCCCTTCCGCGGGGATCCCGCCCCCCTCCTTTTGCGCCCGCTCCCCGCTTGCCGGTTGAAGCGCTCCCCAAGTTTCACACCTGAACGAGTGCCAAGCGGTTGGTTGGGGGCTATAAAAAGGCAGCCCGGAGGAGGCCTTTCCCAGTTGTGGAGGAGGCAGCTGCCGAGGCGAGAAGGGCCGGGGGGAGGGGGTTCTACAGTCAGGCAGGCAAAGCTTGAGCTCGCCATGATCCCCGCCACGCTCCAGTTCTCGGCGTTCCTGCTCGCCTGCTTGCTCCTGAAGAGCTGCCTGGCGTTCAAGAACGACGCCACGGAGATCCTTTACTCGCAGGTCGCGAAAGCCATCCCGGCCATCCCCAGCAGCAACAGCACCTTGAATCAAGCCCGGAACGGAGGCAGGCACGCGGGCTTCGATCGGAACAGTAAGTCTCGGGCATTCAGCCGCCCTCCCTACTCCCTGATGATGCCCCACTCGCGATTTCCATGCAGGAGTTTCACACCTTTAGGTTTTTTTTTTTTTAGTGGGATGATCCAGAAATGGACTTGTTTGTCACTAATGATACTTCCCTTAGAAGTGGGGTTTTTTTAAGGGGGTCTCACGATTGGGGAGTCTCCATCTCATCTCTACCGGAATCTCTTAGAAGCCGCCGCACCTCAGCTTTGTGTTAGGTAGTTTTATGTCCAGAGCAGTCTTCAGAGGCACAAACACTTGTGAATAATAGAGAGAACAGAGAGAGGCTTGGTTTTCCTCTGCAGTGTTTCCTTCTTCCAAATGCCAGTCTGCTCTGATATACAGCTAAGTTGTTTGGGAACTAAAGCAGTTGGTGTTGGTGTCTGAGGAGAGGCTGAACTCCCAGCCTTTCTCCACTGCCTCTATTTGCAAGTGCTTCATCTGCCTGTGAGGCTTTCCAAAGCTAACATTTACCTGCAGTAGCAAGGCTTTGATTGGGTTCCAACACTTTGTCTTTATTTCCTGATGAAACATTTACCTGCTTCAGTCCGTATAAACAAAACAGGTTCACAGCCTACCTGGAAACTCTGCTCCGACTTGTCTTTGAAGTGGTGTTTCTCCCCCTCTCTGCCCCTGCTGCCTTTTCAGTGGAGAAAGGACAGAAATGCAGGAAAGCTTTTTTACCTGGCTTGAGTCAGGATGTGGCTCTAAAAGGTGCCTTGATTTTAGTAGAGACACCTTTATCTCTCAAAGAGGTCTTTCATGTGTCTTTCATCAGGCATGCCTGCCTTTTAATGGTGCAAAGTATAAATACACAGGAAATATCTTGTCACTTCTAAGATTTACTAAAACAACCCAATAGGCATTCATGGTCAGTGAACTGTTACTTTGGAAAAAAAAAAGCTAACTATGTATGCAAGAAGACAATGCAAGGAGACACATTCCTGAGCCAGGTGCTGGAGGCAAGCCTGTGTCAAACTGATTTAGGCAAGCTATGATGTTCAGAAATCACATCCTCTAGAAACAGTCTTCAGCAGAAGAGACCTAGCTGGTGGCTCCTTTAGATTTGCCAAGCAGCCAATTCAGCCAAATGTTTCTAAAGGAGGATTACTTCAAAAACGAATGTAGTCATCGGATAATTTTTCTCCTCCAAAGGTAACTTTCCAGTCACTTTGCAATGGTGATACAACTGGTTGTGGGAAGGGTCTAGGGGGAGGTGGAACCACAGACCAACTCAACTTTGATGTCTCTGAATCTAGGGCTAGGTTACAATTGCTTATGAATTGTGCCCTTGATGAACTCTTGCTGGGTCCTGAGGAAAGGTGTGGGTCAAACAATCCAGTGTCCATGGGCCAAAAGGCCCTGAAGATTTCATTCATCAGTAAAAAGAAAGAAATATACTATTTGGCAAATTTAAGTTGGCCTGCGTGGCTCCTGTAAAAGAGGAACCTTCCCCATGAACTCTTCCAGGTGGATCTGCCTCAGGAGCTAACAGGAAAAAGTTTTGTTGCAGCTTCAGAAGATCATGTGGCTCTCCTTATTTTAAATAAGCAAATGTACGACCAAATATCATCAAGACTCCCATAACTATAAATTATAATATTTTCAGTAAAGGTAGTTCTTGTTTTAATATTGCTCTTCAAAAGCACACACACTTCCTGGATAACATTTACTTTGAACAAAGAAAATGCAAGTGTAAAAAGACTGCATATTGAAATTCATGGTGTGTTCTTTTCCAAAAGTAATTATTAAAATAAGGAATGGTGCTTAACTTCAGTGAGGATATCTACAGATACAAGCAGGCACAAACTTGCCTGTATTTGCAGCTAGTTCAGCACCTTCTTGATACAATGTCAGTTGACTTTTTTAAAAAGATGAAATACTGTTGCCTTAGGTTTTACAGTAGTGCTTGTTTCAAGAAAGGGTACACACAAGCTGTGTCGCAATAGTGTAATACTGTTGCCTGAAGAAGAAAAAATAGCTCTGCCCATTATCACCCAAGAAACATGTCTAGAGCACAGATGTTTAAGCATTGCCCTCACATTAAGCATCAGTTTTCCTTAGGGATAAAATGCATTTCTTTATCTATGTGGATATGGAAAATCATTTTCCCAAACTCACACGTGTAAGTTTTTGTACACAACTATATTCAACGTCTTGGAGGAGATCCATCTTGGATCAAGATTCAGGACAAGGTTTTCATGAAAGGGAGGCAGATGAAAGGGAACCTATAAAATGAAATTACCTGTGATAGCATCAGTAGCTGAGGCAGCCCTAATATGCAGGGAGGCTACAGTCAACAATCTAAAGCAGACCCATTGACTTTTACATGGTTGCTCTGTCAAAAGAATACTCTCCGTGTAGTAAGCCATATGGAATAAAGTGGAACTGACTTCCAAGTAGACCTGCTTAGGATTGCTTCCATGCTTATCCAAATCATGACTGATTAGTGCTGGAGCATCAATTGGGGGCCTCTGATCAGATGCCCAGCCTCCACTGGGTTAACTATATTATACTATAGACATAAATGAAAAAAAAAGAAGAATATTCTAAGAACCCGCCCAAGGTTTCAAGTAAAGTTTCCACAGATTGCAACAAACCAAGGTTTCACCTTGGGAGGCTACATCCCAGTTTGGATTCTGGAGCTCCTGGCTCATATATTGCATCATCAGTATGGTGAAAGAGAAGGAGGATGTGTGTATGTGTGAGGCACTTTTCTACTGAACCAGGCCTTTGTCATCTATTTGAATGCAATGAATAAACAATTATAAATCACTAGAATCTGAGCATTGATTCCAGTATTCTGTGTCTTTTACAGGTCGTGTTCAAGTTGGCTGCAGGGAATTGAGATCTACCAAATACATTTCAGATGGCCAATGTACTAGTATAAACCCCCTGAAAGAGCTGGTATGTGCTGGGGAGTGTCTTCCTTTGCCAGTATTGCCCAACTGGATTGGAGGGGGTTATGGGACTAAGTATTGGAGCAGAAGGAGCTCACAGGAGTGGAGGTGTGTCAATGACAAAACTCGCACCCAAAGGATTCAACTTCAGTGTCAAGATGGAAGCACAAGAACCTACAAAGTAACTGTGGTGACAGCATGTAAGTGCAAGCGGTACACCAGGCAACACAATGAATCCAGCCACAACTTTGAAGGACCATCTCAAACAAAGCCCGTACAACATCATAAAGAGAGGAAAAGAAACACCAAATCCATGAAGCATACCACAAGTTAGAACTTGGCCATCAGAGTTATAAAACTTGAACTTAATAGTCCACTGCTTTTACAGATATCACTGCCTGAAAACACACAGACTTGTCATTGTTGCTTCTCAGCTGGGTGTACTTTGACCAAACTCAGAAGGGCACTCTATGCATAAGGATCTCTCCAGCAAATCATCCATAATTTCAAGATGAACATCCAGCTCTGCTCATTGAACTTTATTTTTTCCTGGTTATTTTTTGGAAACAGATGTTGCTATAGACACTTGATCAAATTTTATATTGTACAGAGTTGCTGTTGTGAGTTTTCATAAAGCATATTCTTCAGATCATCTACTGATGTCCCAACTGAAATAAATTCCTTGAATAACACTGCAGTCAGCCAAAAGCACCATGCATGCTGATCCTTCTATTCAGATGTCTTTATCCACAGTATTTTAGTAACCAAAAACTGCATGACAGCAGCTGAAAAAGTAAATCTGAATAAATTCTATTTATTTGTCAATGTAATTATTTAACGAGCTTTTATGTGTTTCCTGTTTTTTTAAGATGCCTGTTTTTGTTTCATGATGTTCTTCCCCCCGTACATCAAAGTATTTTCCTCTAATTTGTGACCAAACTAGAATATACATTTTGTACATAATGTAAGATACGTATTTCTAATCCTGTTTTGTTGTCATTTTCAACATAAGACATTTTGAAAAATATTCTATAAATACCTTGTTAAAATGCATTTGTATTTTTAAAGTGTGCAGTTCAAAGGTAGACCATATTTCACACCAACAGCATCCTTTTTAAATAAAAAACAATAACATATTGTCTTTGTTTTATCTGGTACATAGAATCATTCATCAATGGCACCAGCCTGTTCATGCTTCAAAGACAAATGCTGCTGCTACCATTGTACCTGACTGTAGCGGCAATGTAGAAGCCACATTAAATTGCTCCCTATGGCAGCTTTATCTGTGTGCTTTGGCGGATCATGTGATTTATTTTATTATTTTTGCTTACCACCACACCTTTCTGAAGAGATCATCTGTGATGGTGTGAACAATTTGCCTGCAGAACCCACAATCTCTATGCCATGACAGTAACAAAAGTTTTGGCTGAACAGACAATACTCTAAGATAATGGAAGGTGGTGGATATACTCATTTCTTTTGTTTCAATGCCCTCTTTGGTCAAACCTTATAAAACCTGTGAACAGATGTTGGTTGGTTTTTCAACCAAGCCACTCAAGTGGCTGCTTGAGGACACACAGTGAGGAGGGAAGTGATGTACCACAAGGTATTAGCTTACCCCCTCCCAGCACCCAATAACATGGGAGATGTCTGCAGTCACTTCCTGAGTCTGTTCCACTGCTGTTGTCAGAGGGTCTTCACTTGGAGCCCAGATAGCAGCAGCACAGGCCCAGAAGGGGGATTGGGGTTACCAATAATGTTTTTACCACAGTACCTTAAAGCTCTTACGTAAGAAAGGCTAATTGGTCTCCTAGGTGGCTTCTAATACAGCTACTATTGAGTTGACCCTGGCTCTTAGAAAATACGTCTACTATGTTCATTTATTGCATATATGCAATAAGTGGATGAAATATTGTTTTAAAATGTATGTGTAAAACCAGATCTGGTAGTCCTATTCAGTGTAGAGAAAAACATTTCAGTAAATGGTTTTGGCTTCCAAAAGTCTTAGGAAACTATTAACAGCTGGTGCTTAGTAATAGTTTGGATTAGCCTCAAATATAATTTCTGCACTGTACATTTGGAAAATTTCATGTTTGGGGTTCTTGAAAAGAATACGATCATTGCTTTCTGATTTCGGGTATGGATGATAATTCATATACTTGTAATGCTGAGTGTGACCATTCCTGTACAAAAAGTTTAGCACTTTATTTACAAATTCTGATACATTCCTGAGTATCGGAAACTGGCTTTTTAGTTTGCCATAAAATAATAACTGTATTCAACCTTATAAACGTTGCACAATGTTTGTGCTTTGTAAAACCATTAGCAACTATAGAAACAATGCAATACGAACGATTTCGGTGGATGCATGACCTTTTGTTCACTTGCAGCCCAACACTAATGAATATGTAATAGTCTTGACCATCTTGAAACAGTGGCTGCAGAAAGAATGGAGGAGCAGGCCCTGTGAGTCAAAAGTAATGGTGACTTCCATTGCATTATTCTGACTATTAAATACAGATTATGTGGACAGGTAGATAAGAGACAGCCAGGCACATATTAGTCTTGGAGAGGACAACTGTCTGTCAAATCCAAGCAATGCCACCTGGAAATGTGCAAAAATAATTTAAAACCTTGGAGAGCTATAGAAACCAGGGTAAATTCATATTAGGCTTGATGCATCATGAAATCAAGAAAAAAAAATCAATGCCAGTCTTCAAAAGAAAAGTGTATTTTCTGTCAGTGAGTTATGAAGGCTTCTCATAAATCCCACCCCCCATATTAATGATATATCACAATTTACTAATGATACACTCAGCTATGCACACTGCTGTGTATGCTAGGGGCAAAAGCTGCCACTCCTGTGAAGAAAAGCTCCACATGTACACTTCTGAACCAATTCTTAAAAATGGACCTAAAGAATCACATTTAATCCCATGACTGCAGAAAAAGGGGGTGCTTTATAAACAGCACAAGGCTCATGATAAGGTAGCCAGTTTGCTTGCCACCATCCTTTTTCAATTGAACTTTTGCCATATCCTCCAGTTCCACCTCTACTGAGCCAAAGGCCACACAGCATATATGTATATATATGTATGTATATGTGTGTGTCTTTTAATTATTTATTTAGAAAAATAGTATGGTACCTCTGTATACCCACTCAAAGTGTCTCAAAACTAAAACAATAACACAAGATCAAGCAAACAAGACAATAAAACCAGATGATAAAAACACATCATGACAATGGGTAAAACAAGTCAAGAGAATACTTTATAAGCATTTTACTTTCTAAAAGCCTTCAAAACAGCTTCCAAGAGTTAGCAACCTTTGTTCATGGCTCCTTGCATCCCAGTCTAGAATCGCAGGACAAAGTTTGAGTCCAGTGGCACCTTTAAGACCAACAAAGTTTAATTCTGGGTATACGTTTTTGTGTGCTACAACACTTCTTCAGATACAGCGAAACAAGACTTTCTCATCCATTGCATATAGTTAGGGGGATTAGTTGCCAGGAAGGGCTAATTAAAGTCAAGATGCATAAGTGACTGAGCAATAAGTATAGCTAAGATTGGATTAATGCAGTTGTGGTGTTTCTACTGTTATCTGGACTAGTGTCAATTGTAGTGTCAAAAGACACTGATTTCCTACCAGGAATACTGTGTTTATGTGAGGACCAATCATATACCTTATTTTCTTCATAATCCTTAAAGCAGGGGTGTCAAACCCATCTATTATGAGGGCCAGATATGACATAAATGAGACCTTGCTAGGCTGGGCCATGTGTGTCATAAAATGTAATGCCAGGTAGCAGAGAGATAAACTTTATAAAGGACACAGACAAACACAATTAAATATTTTTAAAACTTTAAATAAAACATTCTTATAACACTAGTACTCTTGCAATACATTGTTTATTTAACAGTCTCTGATAACGGACACCTCTTGCTCTGAACTATTGCATCAAAATGTCTGTGCTGTAGCAATCTTGAGTCTGCTGTCCAGCTGTATATCTTTAAGCTGCAAACCTACTTTTGATTTATTGAGAATCATTACAGAAATCTTATGCTCACTGTTTAAGAAGCCTAGGACCCAGGGGAAAACATGAAATGGCTGGGCATTGCGGGCTTTTGTACATAAGTTGCTTAATGTGCTGGTCAATAACATGATAAGGCATCCTGACACGTACTGAGGGTTATGTGTTTGTCTACAAAACTTCTTCCCCAGAGAAATAACTACAACTTCCTACAAAGGAAATGTACTGGGTGAACTTGATCTGGAAACACATACTCTCAGTGTAATCCACCTCACTGGCTTGTTGTTATTTCTCCTCTAAAATAGTTCACATACGTTTCTTACTGAGAAAGACTGGATCATGAGGGCATGAATACAGTGAATAAGGGGAGGAAACCCAGTTGCACCTAGGAGATCCCTGGCATAAAGATCCCAACAAAACACACACATACTGTACCAAGGCACACAAAAGCTCATACCTTGAACAAAACTTTGTTGGTCTTAAAGGTGCTTGGTATTTCTCTCATGTGACTGAGGCAGCCCAGCAAAGCAAGCTCTCCCTCGTTCCCTCCCTCCCTTCAGGGAGGAGCCTCAGCCAGTGGAAGGAAAGGCTTCTCTTTGTCTCCTGCAGCTTGCCCAGGAAGCAAGCTCTGGCTGTTCCCTCCCTCCCCCTGGGAGGAGGAGTGGGAGGAGCCTTAGCCAGTTCTTTATGAGGCTCTCTCAATCGCACAGGAGAGGCTTGCCTATCTATCTCTCCTGTGCAATTGAGAGAGACTGGTAAAGCAAGCTGTGATGTGGCAACAGCAACAGAACTGGAAAACAAAGCAGGAGCCAGGTCCTTGTGGGTTGGATCGGGGCCCTCCAAGGGCCCCGATCCAGCCTGCAGGCTATACATTTGACACCTCTGCCTTAAAGTCTCTTTGAAACTTTTGAAATTTTCCATATGTTCAGGGGGCTAGACTACTATGGTGCTGATTCTTTTCTAGTTATACCTGAGCTTTGAGCATTTCAGATTAGACCTAAGAAAGTAAATATTGTACCATTTAGGTTTTTTCAGTTGGCTACATACTCTTTTTTCTAATACAATTAGGAGACTTTTTAATTTACTATCACTTAGTCACATGTTTTATTTGTATTTTAAATCCATGGGCAAATTTTGCATCTTGATGAGTTGCCCATGTTGTATCAGAAGAAAACTGACACAACTTACTCCACAGTGAACATCTCAGTGTGAGTAAGGGAGCTATCCTAGTTCCATGTACTTCAAAAATTCAAATTAATTATGTTCCTTAACAGACATGAAGATAATTAGTTCTCTTTCCCCCTTCATTTCAGGTCCATGCTGTGTATGATCAGTTTTATGTATGTCTTTGTTAAATTAATGGAGTGCTCAGTTTAAATTATTCCACTGAGGAAGGCCAGGTTCCAAAATGCACTTGGTTCTTGTATATGGAGACAATGGCTGTGGTCACATGAGCAGTTTGCCATGATACAGTAGCATTACCTTTGCAGATTTAAAAAGCATGATCAGACAGCAACATCTACCTTCCGTGCCCCAGTTGTCAGCAGCCCATGTTGTGCCGCTTTGGAAGTGGAGTAATCAGGCAATGGGGAAAGTCTAGTGTTTATGGATGCCAGTGTTTCCATTCCACTTTCCCAGATGTCTAAACTCTCCTGCCATGAAAGGAACCCAGAAGGGAAGTCTGAACCCACAGATCTGTTTCCACCCTTTTTTTTAGTTGCTGCCTATATGCGCATGCACCTGCCTGAATAAAACAAAAACTACCAGGCAGCATGCTCGATGGTTGAGGCACTGCAGTAATGTTAATGCCTGACCACCAGATGAACTTGCAGGGAAACCACCCCTGGGTGTGCTGTCTGGTTGGTCTGCCCCACAACATTTTAAAC